CACATAAATGTACTTACGTCTTACGCTAATGTTGATGGAATGCAACATTCTTGTCCAACAAGCATACAAACTATGTGCAAGTCTTTTATGGATTATTCGATATCCCATCTCGAAACATCCATCGACTTGGAACTGTATTTAAGATCACGACTTTCAAGGTATGTTCCATGATCACTATCTCTATGCGCAACCATACCTTATAACCATAAGTGATCTAGGGATTTTATCTTAAGTGCAATTATAAGATAAATGCTTTCTCTTAAGATAAAGAAATGCCTTATTCATAATATAATTCCAATAGACTGTATTTACAAGTAGAATACGTCCAATTAGATTGGAACGCCGGGTACCCTACTCTAACAGTTTAGGCTATGAATTCTGTGCATACCGATACTGATATTGTTTTACCGTGATACTGCTTTTTAAATAATTATACGAGATAACTGTGCGATAATGGTGAGCTAGTTGGTTGCTCACCCCCATTATTTTTCTTGTTGTCTTCTCTCTTCCTTTGTTCTAGGTTGAGACGAGCTGGAGGCGGTGGCGTAGGACGAGCGAGATGGTGGTCATTATGTGTTGACAACCTATGCTTCCGTATAAACTTGATATTTATTTTATTTGCCATTATGTCTTGGATTATTTACCGCTTTCACTTTTCGAACTATGTTTAAGTTGGTTGAACCTTGAATAATGCTAGATCTTTTGGAATGGTTTTTGAGACTTATGTTTTATGGGATTTGTTATATCGTTAGCTCAAGCATGGGTAGGTTCCTTCAATTGTTGGATGTGTGTTGTTTGTTGTTGTTAGTAAGTAGCGCCCGTTTCTCGATGAAGGTTTTAACTTGGATTTAAAAAAATAAAATAAAATAAAATAAAATAAAATAAAAAAAAACTCTGATTTTTCATGAATTAATTCGATAAATTCTTTAAAGTAAAACGGGGCGTCACACTCGAACTCGAACCATGTGGACTACGACGAAGTCAATCTTGAGTGCAAATTAATGCTTGAGCCATCTTAGGGGTCATTGAAGCTAAAAAATCATCAATCACACGACCACCGGTGCTAAATGTAGACTCCGAGGCTACGGTAGATAAGGGCATTGCCAACACATCACGAGACAATTTGGATAAAACGGAAAACCGGCGACTATTAAATTTCCACCACTCTAATACATCGAAACCTTTCGAAGCTTTTTCCAAGCGTTCATTTAGATAAGTATCTAGCTCTGATTCCTCTAGCCCAATCCCGAATATCAACTCTTGGATTCGCATCTTTTTATCCATTACACTCGACGAAACATTTTCGACATTCGAAGAAGGCGATGAAGTAGAAGTTGATGACACCAAGCCAATCATCTTTTTATACTCATCAAAAATTTCATAAAGATCACTCTTAGCTAAATTCGCTATCTCTTCCCCAAGAGCTGAACAATACATACTTTTCAAATAGTAATGTAGGACACCAAACTTGTGACGGGGATCAAGCATAAACCCAACATACAAAACCATATCAAATTTCTCTATACCAACCCAATATTTGTCAAACTTCTCTTTCATTTTTTTTGCCATTGCAACCAAATCAATATCATCACAACATATCCACTCAATCAAATGCTCATGGATTTCAAATATTTCATCAAAGAAAATGTTTGAAGTTACAAAGAGTGAACCCGAAACTCGAAGGGTGAGATCATAAAAATGACGCAACACTTTGACAAATTTCTCCACGACGGTCCAATCATACTTGGTGGGCAAGCCAATTTTTTCATAAGTTCCACCCGACGTAAAATCTTTCCGAAAATCGGAATCTTGGATCTCATATCTGTCAAAAACATTTTTAAAAATCAAAGCCGTGTCAAGCATCAAATAAGTAGAGTTCCATCTAGTTGCAACATCAAGACACAATGATTTTTTACTCTCAATTTTTTCCTCGACGGTTAACTCTTTAAACCTCTTCAATCTCATTAGTGAAGACCTCACATAACGAACAACCACCCGATCACGATCAATGGAAGAATTAGTATGTTTCAATCCTTCTTTAACTATAAGATTCACAACATGAGCAACACAACGCATATGCAAGTATTTTCCATCCAAGATAGAAGTGCCCTAATTTATGAATCTTCTTTTCAAATAGGCTACAGTCACATCATTAGCAGAAGCATTATCAACGGTAATACCAAAAACCTTATCAATTCCCCATTCAAGAAGACACTTTTCAATCAAATGACCAACCTCATCACCTTAGGACAAGGAACAAAATTGAGAATCAACTTATGCAACTTCCATTCATCATCAATATAGTGACCCGTCAAACACAAGTAACTAAGATTCTGATTAGAAGTCCACAAATCAATTGTCAAAGATATTCTCAACCCCGACGACTTAATTAAAGATTTCAGGCGATTTTTTTCATCAACAAACATGTTCAGACAATCTCTTGCTATAGTCATTCTTGATGGCACAATCACCTGAGGACATGAAATTGACATAAGCTGCCTAAAACCTCCATTCTCAACAAATCGAAAAGGCAATTCATCAATAATTACCATGCAAGCAATGGCTTTTCTAATTGATTCTTAATCAAATTTCCAATTAGAACTCCCTTCTTTTGTGCCCACATTGATATTTTGACAAAACTTGGCAATTGTCATGCTCTGACTTTTTTTTTATTATCAGGATGATTTTTGCTGTCATATGGTGATTCATAGAAGACGTACCATTAAATTTTGTATCGACTGCGTAACTTTTTTCACAATGCTTGCATTTTGCCCTCTTCTTACCATTTTCCAACGTTATCAGCTCAAAGTGTTTCCATGCCTTGGCCCTTCTTTTAGTCTGCTTTCTCGGAAGTCCCACTTCCCTTTCATCTGATTCTCCTTCTTCTTCTCCATGCGCATTCAATGTTTCCACGTGTTCTTTCTCAAATGTGGCGTCCTCATTGCCCAATTCATCAGGTTCTGGATTATTCGATGATGCATGAAGAGGTTGTAGTGGACTTGTACTCGAAGTCCTCGAACATCCCGAAGGACCCGAACCCCCTTTTTTGCGTTTTGTACCTAATAAATGCACAATTAAAATTCAGTATTGAAGTAAGTAGTAGTAAGAACAAACAACAAATCAAGGAACAGCATCCATAATTTCAGCGAAAAATGCATTAATCTGTTAATAATTTTTTATTTTATTTTTTGTTCAGTTCACAGTGAAACTGGACACATTTCACTAAATGCACATTCGAGATAAAATTCATTAATTCAACCGTGCAGCTCAACTGAAACTGAGGCACATTTCAGTTCAAGGAACAAATGCATTAATCAATACATGAATTATTTTCTTCAATACATGATATACATAGAATCATAGATAGATACATAGATAGGTATCATGTATTGTTTGTTTAATAAGTTGGATGTGGAAAAAAGTTCAAGTTCTCAAATAACCAAGCATGCCTGTTGACAAAAATAATCTTAAAAATGAGAGATTCAAAATCAAAAAAAGAAAACTACGAACCTGAGGTGCAGCCCGTACGAGGGGATTTGGGTGGCGAACTCATTTCGGAAGAGGAGTGTCGCCGTGAGTGACGGTCTGCCGGGTGGAATGGAGGGTGTGGCAGTGTGCGGGAGTAGGAGCGATCGAGCGAGGTGATATCATATTTCACACGATTTGGGATTTCAAGCTTCAAAGCGCCGACATCGACCGATTGGAGATGGAGTGTGTGACTGACAGGTTGTGTGCGGACAGCCCGACGCCGATCGATTTGGGATTTCAATGTTTATGTGACAGGTTGTTTGCGGTGGACGAGCGAAGAAGAAGATAGGTAGGATTTACTTAGGAAATTTTCTGAAAGGACTCAATATCGAATTGTCAATTTCTTTTTTGGATTGATAATTTGAGATTGAGTATTTGAGTTGGGTCAATGCCTCAATGGATTGAGTGATAAATCATTAAATTGGATTTGGGTCTATGGAAGATGATTAGATGAGTGATCAATTGGGCCGCCCAAGCTTTGGGCCTGTGAGTATTCTAACATATGAATTGAATAATTATAATGGGTTTTCCGTTTTCTAACCTATATGTATAATATATCGGTTTTCGGTTCGATTCGGTTAACCGACATATTGTGATCAAATCGAACCGAAAACTGAAATACTAAGAAAATAAAATCGAAAACCAAACCGATTGGTCAGTTCGGTTTCGGTCGAAACCAAATTATCGATTTCGATCGGTTAACCAAAATTTGTGCAGCCCTAGTCTAGAGTACGCAACACATATTTTAACAACGTCGTGCTAAACCAAACGCGCCCTAAAACGTCGGGCCTACGAATTTATCGTAATAACTGAAAAGGAAAAAGAAAAAGAAAAAAAAATCGGAGTCCCTCTAGACGATTCGAGAGGCTAGCGAGAGAAAAATCTGACTCGGAGGAATATCGGAGATGGCGGTGGAGGGCAGCGCGCCGACTCGCATAATGATTGCGGTGAATGAGTCAACGATTAAAGGTTATCCACACGCATCGATAAGCAGTAGGGGAGCATTCGACTGGACTTTGAAGAAAATCGTTCGTTCTAATACCTCTGCTTTCAAAATTTTGCTTCTTCATGTTCAAGTGCCTGATGAAGACGGTAAAATTCACTTTCACGACATCTATGGGCGATCATGTAGCTCTTGTTTTGGTGATTGTTGACTTCTCTCTGTGTGATGTTGTGTCAGGTTGCTTTTCCTAGGTTTCGTTCATTTTCCCTGTTTATGTTTATTTTATAGTTGCGAAATTGTCAGTATTTGGCTACCGCGTGAATGACAGAGTTCTTCTTTTCGGATCATCCCTTATTATTTCCTCTGGAATTTCAGTTACTGAGTGTGGCATTAGCTTCTCCTTGTGATGTAATTTTGTGTTTTGGTGATTTAGTCTGTTTTCTTGCAGTAGAGATTCTTGTTTTCATTATTTTCCTAAACCACACAGCGAATTGCAAATGAAAATATGCTTCGTCTGTTGTGTTCCAGATTATGTAGTTCTACTTGAACATTAATTTTTCATCGTGGCTCCCAGTAACAAAACGGAGACAAAACTAGTCTACCAGCATATTTCTTTTTGTTATGCATCAATGTCTGAGAAATACTTCTTTTATCTTTCAAGAAAAGAGTAATTTTAAATGAAGTACTGTTAATAAATGATATGCTTACCGGCAGTTTTGTATGTGGACTGGTGACTAAGTGAGCTCCTGCCACTACTGGGTTCAATGTATTTTATGCCGTGTTATTGCTTGACTTGTCCCACTTGGATGTTTATTGAATGATTTTCACTAGGCCATCAAAGGAATCGATTAATATATATATTATTTTTCATTTATCTAAACTTATCCAATTTGTCAGGTTTTGATGATATGGATAGCATATTTGCCTCTCCTGAAGATTTCAGGAGGATGAAGCACAGAGACAAGATAAGAGGGCTTCATCTATTGGAGTACTTTGTGCATCAGTGTCATGAAATTGGGGTACAGAAAACTGTATCTAACTCTAACTCTTGCAGTCCTCTTTTCTCATATTGATTCAATTGCATGCAGTGAGGCATCTATTGGCGAAAAGCAAGTTCACTCGCTCAACTTCATTCATGCTAGAAGCAAATCAATCTTTATGTCGTTATAATTTATGGAGACGAAATAAAGTCTTGATATTATTCTGTCTGGATATTATTGTGTACTTTTTTGTAAACATATGTTTTTTTGTAGGTTGCTTGTGAAGCATGGGTCAAAAAAGGGGACCCAAAAGAAGTGATCTGCTATGAAGTGCAACGTGTCCAGCCAGATTTTCTTGTTGTTGGAAGCAGGGGACTCGGACCTTTCCAGAAGTATGTTTGCTTATGCACTTTCTTTCTTTTATCTCCCTGGAGTTGGACATATATTCACTTCAGGACAATTAGAAAAAACCACCCTCACTATTTTGCATAACTGCAAGAATCCTTAAGGTGTTATGAATGCTCCTGCCTATGGTATTTGTTTATCCAATTACTACTATGTTTTCGAAATAGAGCGAATGACTTGTTAGAAGAAAAATATTTTGACATAAGCAGTGTTACTGTAATTTGGCTGAGAACCAAAGGGACCATTTTCTAGTTGATCCTTTCTTCCATTCTTTGGTTCTATTAATTTTTCCAACTTGCTCATATTTGTGGTTCTGATTTTCAGACACCAAATTATAGAAGCTTGCAATAGTTTCAAATCCAAGTGTGCCCATAACCTCAATATTGAGATAACACTGAAATTCCTTAATGATCTTTTGTAGGGTTTTTGTGGGGACTGTGAGTGAATTTTGTGTGAAGCACGCTGATTGCCCTGTCATTGCCATCAAACGCAGTTCGGCGCAGACCCCTCAGGACCCTGTTGATGACTGATTGGTTGTTGCAGCTCATTTATAGTCAACTAGAAGTACTTTGTTTACTGTGCTGTAAATGGATCAAATTCGCTCTCCTCAATTTCACTTGATTGTTTGTCAAAAGTCATTGGGAGCTTGTATAATGTGAATCCCTTTCAAACCTACTTTGTCTTCGTGTATTGCATCTGGGGTTGCCTTTGCATTGTAAGTAATTGCGAATTATGAAACCTGTTTTTGCAGTATGCCTGAGATTTTTGTCTATACTGATGATCATTGTTATGATTCTGTTTTATTACAGTATCATCCCTGTCAAATATGGTTGGTGTGGAAATTGAAGTATCTTTAATGTGTTGATGCTTCGTATGGGAACATTAGAAATTGTCACGCCCATCTAGCTGCTGCATAATGTCAGTTGTGTTGATTACAAAAATGTCTAAATTTAACATTATTATGGAGAGAATTTTTGGAGCACTTGAAGGGATATTTGTTTGTTGGCGAGATCAATAAGAGTTCTCATCTTTGTTGTCAACTTGTCATGACAACTTTCGTGGTTGAGTTTCTGTATTTCTATAATTATCACAGTGGTATTATGGAATTGGAAAATAGAAAAGTGATGCTCTTTGACTCATCGTTGATGACATTAAGCGCGATGTACTTCATCACTTTCTACACCGAGTCCAACCAACTTTTAGCTCATAAGTAATGCTAAAGAACTCTTACAACACTTTCTACTCTCTGAGTCTAACCAATTTTTAGCTCACAAGTAATGCTAAAGAAGTCTCTAAAAGTTCAAATTGAAAACAACTGTATACTTTTCAAATGATAGATAAAAGATGCAGTGAAGCGTAAACGAAAAGGAAAATAGATGAGAAATTTCAAAATCTTATGTTTATTTGACCAACCACCGATGGATGATGAGGAGAAACGAATAAATAGTCTCAAAATACCTAGTTACCTACCTTGCTAAATAAGTCAATAGTATTAAATATATAATTACCAACTAGAAAAGAGGAAATAAGGAATAATAATAATAACTAGAAAATAAATAATCAAATTAAAGACGTAATTCGATCGTATTTCTCTAGAAACGTCAAGGCGATCTCGTCTCCATCATTCTCCCCCGGTTCGGAAGGATTCGCCATCGAATCCAAATCAATCTCGTCTCCCTCGGAATTGTCACCCAGATATGGCACCAAATGCTTGACGTTGAACACGTCAGAAGTCCGAATATGTGACGGGAGATGGAGACGGTAAGCACTGGGGTTAAACATCTCGACGATCTCAATAGGTCCGAACTTGCGTGTAGACAACTTGTTGTACTCGTGCGTCGAGAAACGATCCTTCGTCAGAATTGCCCAAACGAAGTCACCCACCTCAAACTCGACATGTCGGCGTCGAGCATCCACATGGCGCTTGTATGCCGCGGTAACCTCCTCCAAACGAGCACGCACCGACTCGTGAGTCTTCCGCAAGTTGGCCATCAAGTCCTCGGCACGACTGTCAGACGCCCCAAGCGAGGGCAGGGCCAATAAATCTGCGGCACCCCGAATCACCTCGAATGGAGAACACCCAGTTGCCCGACTCGAGGCCAAATTATGGGTAAACTCAGCCTGACTGAGACGCCAATCCCAAGTCCGAAGGCTCTCGCCCACTAAGCACCGTAACAAGTTCCGGAGCTAGCGATTAAAGACCTCTGTCTAGCAGTCAGTCTGAGGATGATTGACACTACTAAAGTACAACTACTTGTAGGCAAGACGTCACAAGCTACGCCAAAAATAGCTAAAAAAACGTGTGTCGTGGTCGAAAACAAGGAAAGACGAAAGACTATGCAACTGGTAAACCTTGTGAAAGAAGAGCTGAGCCACATGGACGACATCAGTGGTTTGTTAGCACGATATGAAATGGACCATTTTCGAGAAACGATCGGCGACGACGAAGACAGAGTCATGAACTCATTGTGTGCGGAGGACGAAGACAGAGTCATGACCTCATTGTGTGCGGAGCACCCCCCAAGACAAAATCCATACTAGTCGCATTGCACGGACGCGAAAGGATCGGCAATGGGCGATATAACCCTACGTTGGACGCCGCGTCTTTTGACACTTGACAGATCCGAAAACGTTCCACAAATCGCGACACATCACGCTGCAAAGAAGGCCAGAAAAAGGAACGACGTACCATGTCAACGGAGAGGTCACGACCTACGTTCCCCACCCCATGAAGATCCGCTATCACCTTCAGTCGAAGGCCACAATCGGGAAGGCAAAGGCGCACACCCCGGAACAAAAAGCCCTCAACAAGAGTATAATCCTCAAAGGACCCGTCGAGAGGCGACTAACAATGGGCCCAAAGAAAGAATCAGTCGCATAGAGATCCCGCAGCAAGTCAAACCCGATCACCAAAACCTGCAAGTCAGTCAACAATAGCGAACGACGGCTCAATGCGTCGGCCACACGATAAGAAGCACTCGAACATCGCGTGGCGGGCAGAAATAGTGCCTTAAGAAGAAAGGGGGCGCAAAGCCTCGTGGTCATCTGAAATAGATACTGACGCCAGTAGACGGACAACACGAAACACAACATAAAACTCGACATGATTAGTTGTTGTACCGTAAGCAAGGTCCCGATAACTTCTCGCTGAAGAATGCAACACGTCGTCAATCCTAACTCAAAATTGCCCCAATCCCAACCTTTGAGACATCACAAGAAAGCTCAAACATATGAGAAAAGTCGGGCAAAACCAACACTGGGCGAACGTCATCTTGTTCCTGATGAAGGCAAACGCCTCGCCCGTCTCGGGGGACCACACGAACGTCCCGTAAGACAATCCGTGATCGGCGCGGTGATAGTATTGAAATGAGAGATGAACCAACGGTAGAACGAGGCGAGGCCGTGGAAGGTGAGAGCCTCCGTAAAGGATGTCGGCATTGGCTAATCGTGAATCGCTGCCACCTTGCTATCATCAACGCGGACGCCCTCTGCCGAGATAAAAAAATAAAAAATAAAAAATAAAAAAATAAAATAAATAAAAAACACAAGAAAAGAACCGAATGAATTACAAAGAAGCATTTCTGAGGCGCCACATAAAATGACTCGGCTTGTAGAATCACAAGAACCGAGCACACATAAACCAAGTTCTCCTCTACCGTGCGACTATAAATGAGTATGTCGTCGAAATAAAAGACGACACAATTCCCAATGAGGTCGCGCAATACCTGGTTCATCACTCGCATAAAAGTGCTAGATGCATTCGAGAGACCAAATGGCATGACCAGCCTCTCAAAAAGACCAAGGTTGTCTTCCACTCATCCCCTTGCCGAATGCGGATCTGATGATACCCACTATAGATATCAAGCTTCGTAAAGACGAAAGCGCTGTGTAGGTGGTAAAGTAAGTCGTCCAAACGCGGATCTAATGATACCCACTATTTTAAGTTGTTCTTGTTAAAAAAAATAAAAAAAATGCATTCATATCCTTTCTTAAATTGTTAGTCTATCTTTCATTAAATTGTTTTGTTCGAAACTAAATTTGTAATATGTCTTTCACTAAAATTGTTCTTTGTATTTGAGAGATGTATTGTCTTTTAAACAATATGACTAATCAATTTGTTGGTCAAAATAAATATGTCATAAGATAAGATATGGGCTATGAAAAGTTAATCAATTTGCTGGCACAAATAAACATGTCAGAAGATAAGGCATGGGTTGTGGCACGCTTATCAATTTGATAACTCAATTAATATGTCGGAAAATAATGTATGGGCTATGAATGACAACTATATACAAGAATTGTCTATAATAAACAATTTGCTGGTTATGAAAAGTTAATCAATTTGTTGGCACAAATAAACATATCAGAAAATAAGGCATGAGTTGTGACACGCTTATCAATTTGATAACTCAATTAATGTGTCAGAAAATAATATATGGGTCACGAATGATAGCTATATGCAATAATAGTCTATAATAATCAATTTGCTGGTCAAAATAAATATGTTAGAAGATAACATATGGGCATTGAAAAGTTAATCAATTTGCTGGCACAAGTAAACATGTTAGAAGATAAGGAATGGGCTGTGGCACGCTTATCAATTTGGTAATTAATGTGTCAAAAAATAATGTATGGACCATGAATGACAGTTATATGCAATAATTGTCTATAATAATGCATGGGTCAATATACATATACGTTGATGCCTATATATTCAAAGCAAACTTACATATTTTTTCTCATTTTGCAAAGCATAGTTACACACTTTAAATTCAACTAGAATCCTTAAAAAAATGCCTCAACAGTCATATAGATCTGAGTCTGATTCATCATCATCCACCGGCAGTGAAGATGGTGATGACACTAATTATTTAGAAGTAGAAATGATCTCCTCAATTGTTCAGCGAAGCCACGAGTTACTTCAAGCATATCAACACAAAATTGAAGTTCGTAAAAGACGAAGGTTCATCCAGAGAAATTGTGAAGTTGGGCATGACAGACTTGTAAGTGATTATTTCTCTGAGCATCCAGTCTACCTAGATCATATATTTCGTAGACGTTTCCGTATGCAAAGAGAATTATTTCCTCGAATTGTGAATGCATTTCAGACACAATCATCATATTTTCACCAAAACATTGATGCAGTAGGAAGACAAAGTTTGTCACCACTTCAAAAATACACATCAGCTATTCGTCAATTGCTTATGGAGTCTCAGCTGACCACCTTGATGAGTATTTACGTAGGAATGAGTCAACCGCTATCAAATATCTTCATAAATTTTGTGAAAGTGTTGTTCAAATTTTTGGTGATCTATATTTGAGAATACCAAAAACTAGCGATGTTCAACGACTCCTCCAAATGCATGAAGAAATCACGGTTTTTCGGGTATGCTTGGAAGCCTTGATTGTATGCACTGGAAATAGAAAAATTATCCAGTTGCTTGGAAAGGCCAATCCACAAGAGGACATGGGTCTCCTACGATTGTCCTTGAAGTGGTTGCTTCACACGATTTGTGGATATGACATGTCTTTTTTTTTTGTGTTGCAGGATCACGTAACAATATCAACGTATTATACGAATCTCCTCTATTCAATAATGTATTGCAATGAAATGTACCAAACGTTCATTTCATTGTCACGCAATATGCAAATGAGTATTATCTTACAGATGGAATCCAGAATGGGCTACGTTCGTAAAGTCTTTTTCTTGCCCGTCAGATCCTAAAAGAAAGTTATTTAAAGAAAAACAAGAACCTGCACGAAAGGATGTGGAAAGAGCATCTGGGGTGTTTCATTCTCGATGGACAATTGTAAGAGGTACTTCTCGATTTTGGTATAGAAGAAAACTGAAATTTATTATGTTGGCATGTACTATTCTACACAATATGATTGTTGAAGATGAAGGAGATGTAGTAATA